AGAGAGAGAGAGAAAGAGAGAGAGAAAGAGAGAGAGAAAGAGAGAGAGAAAGAGAGAGAGAGAGAAAGAGAGAGAGAAAGAGAGAGAGAAAGAGAGAGAGAAAGAGAGAGAGAAAGAGAGAGAGAAAGAGAGAGAGAGAGAAAGAGAGAGAGAAAGAGAGAGAGAAAGAGAGAGAGAGAGAAAGAGAGAGAGAGAGAAAGAGAGAGAGAGAGAAAGAGAGAGAGAGAGAGAGAGAGAGAGAGAGAGAAGAGAGAGAGAGAGAGAGAGAGAGAGAGAGAGAGAGAGAGAGAGAGAAGAGAGAAGAGAAAGAGAAAGAGAAGAGAGAGAGAGAGAGAGTGAGAGAGAGAAGAAAAAGATGAAACGGACAGAAAATAAGAAGAAAAGGACAGAAAAAGACAAAAAAGACAAAAGACAAAAAGACAAAAAAAAAAAACAGGGACAGAAAGCTATAGACACATACCCTCCCCCCAATAAACCCAACGAACATTATCGCAAATACCCACTTAATCTCCCCAATAAATCCCTTACCTGTGACAATGTAATCCGCCTTGCCCGACCTCGACATCAGGTTGAGAGGGACGGCCGCGAACTGACCTGTTCCTCCGCCTTGTAAGAACAGAACCTTGTAGTTGGATGGGACGTTCCTGAGCCGGGGAGAGTCTGTGTTAATTCGTTGTATATTTCTCTTTTTGTGTTGTGTTATTATTTCTAAATCGATGTATAGTTTGTATAATTTAGTGGTTATATGTACTAGGTAATGGTTCGATAACGGTGACGAGTATAGGGTAATGATAAGATTTGGTGGCGGTGCTGTGGTGGTGGGGATAGAGGGTGGTGTTAGTGGTGTTGGTGGAGTTGGTGTTGGTGGTGATCGTAATGGTGGTGATGACGATGAAAATAATATCAAAATCTATGACGACGACGATGAGAGAAAAACTATCAACGTTAATGACAGTGCTGACGAAGCCAACCACTAACATGAGCTCTCGCACGCTGCTCTCCGCGCCCTCAATGATCTCCGCGAAGTCCTTTGAGCGATGCGACAGCTCCATGACGCTCACTTGCGTCGACTTGTACTGCACCAGCTCATCTTGGAGCTTCACCAGGACCTGCGGGATGACAAAGGAAAGCTGATCGTCTTTCAGAGAGAAGGTCTAATGGTCCAAATCTAGGGGTTTAATCTAGGAGTTTGTTAGTGTGTTTAGTATGTTAAGTGTGATACTATTTCGACATGAAGGAGTGGCCACTTGTGCATTTAGAAACTTTGGTGGGAAATAACGAGTTTTAACAAAGACTCAGTTTGTGGGAATGTTGGAGGAAAAGGCACCTTTGTGCATTGCTTTACACGCAACTCCTGGTAAATACAACGAAAACTACCTTATACAACTGCATCAGACCCAGAGACAACATCATAAAAAATACAGTGATACAATATATATTCAATACAAGTGCCTGCTTTATGCAAATACAAGAGACCCCTTTTCAACCCAAAGTATAGCTAACGGACGTGGCAACCCAGGAAAATATATGTCCACATCAAACATAGGCTTATAGACCGGATGTTGTTGTAACTACACCGCTGAGTGACTCTTGTAGTTGACCGGGATGAATGAGATTGAATAACCCACAAAGTAGGAGACATGTTTAACCGACACGTCAACCACATCCCTTGTTTTGTGAAGTTGTTAATTAATTCAATTTTTCTTTCTTTCTTTATATATGTATAGATTTGTTTATTTATTTACCTATTTACTCACATCTGCCATCATCAACTAGTAACCCGTCCCACTCCTGTATTTCCCCTACAATATTTATATATAAATACACATCCCTGGCCTATATGCGGGTGAGAAAGTTATGAGTGGAATTTCCCATTCTTTACACATTCATTAACAAAATCATAAGAAAAACTACAGTGAAAATAATATTCGAAAAACACTATATATCGAATGCATGCAAACGCGGGGCTCGTTTCTACTGTTACGTACATTAAAATATCGATGATCATTATTATATAACTAATAATTACATTCAAGAATGACATGCAGATATATAACGGAAATGCATGTACAGACAAACCGGCAAGCAGGCAGACGGAGACAGAAATACACACTGAATCATTCAGCAGGAAATAAAGACATCATTTTTATTTACCTTACAGTGGGTGTAACCTGATTATCCTCATTCGTCAAAAAACATACATACACACATACATACATACACACAAATATATATACAACGGTAATTTATATCTTTCTCTTTCTCTCTTTCCCTCTCTCTTTGTGAACTGAAATAGCGATAGTAATTACGATCATGAAGAAGCACATGACGGGATAGGTGGATAGATAGTTGGATTAACAGATATGAAGACAGACAGATATATATATATATATATACATAACGATAGATAGATGGATGGACGGAAAGAAAAAGTATATGAGCAAGGAGCAAGCAGAGGGAACAAGAGGAGGGGAGAAGAGAGGAAAGGAGAGGATATGAGACGAGACGAGACGAGAAGAGACGAGAAGAGAAGAGAAGAGAAGAGAAGAGAAGAGAAGAGAAGAGAAGAGAAGAGAAGAGAAGAGAAGAGAAGAGAAGAGAAGAGAAGAGACGAGACGAGACGAGACGAGACGAGACGAGACGAGACGAGACGAGACGAGACGAGACGAGACGAGAAGAGAAAAGAAGAGAAGAGAAGAGAGGAGGAGAGAAGATAGGAGGAGAGGAAGAGAAAAGGGAAGAAGAGCAATTCAAAGACAACACGAAATTATGACCTTGAATCCTCTTCCTGCTCAAATTAATCTCCGACCGCGCTCGTCTCGCTTGCACTGGGACCAACGGCCTTTAATGACACCAGGCAGTCTGTAATCAACGATTCTTTTTTATCATCAATAAAAATTCGAGAGTAAAACTGCATCGTTGTTTTTAAATTCTCTTTGGATGTGGTTGTTAGGTCCCGGTTCGATTATATTAATCTAGTTCAGTTAATGTATTGAATTATGGTTGTAAGGAAAATAAAGAGGTATAAAACTACGGAATATTTTTTCGTGTTTGTATATCTATTCTCGTACTTGATAAATGTTATGGCAATACGATTTAGAATAAACTATCTATTGACAGGAAAAAAAAAAATATTTTCCTGACTTCGCATATATTTTCCCCCTTTCTCCTCCGACTGTTTGTTATTTCCAAAATTAGCACGTATGCAACATTAGCATTAGGCTGATAATGCACAACCCCTTCCTCGCCCCTTATCACGTGTGCTCTCCGTGTCTCGCAGTCCACCCCCTCTCCCTCCCCCTCCCACACCCCCACTGTCACCCTCACCCATGACCCGTTCCCTCGTCCCCTACCCCCCCCCCCAGCATCTCTCCGGCTCTTCTCTTGGTAACTGATACATGCCTTAGCGTTTAATAAGGATGCTTATGTTTGTGTGTCTGTTTATGGCTGTTCTCCCTGTCTTTTCGTGTACGGCTGTCTAATATGTGTCTGTCAAAAGTAGGACCAGGCTACGAGCATTGATAAGCGAGGAATAGTAAAAGAACTTGACAGATAAACACATTCTAGGCAGCGGCATAAGAAAAGACAGGTTAGTGATATATATATATATATATATATATATATATATATATATATATATGTGTGTGTGTGTGTGTGTGTGTGTGTGTGTGTGTGTGTGTGTGTGTGTGTGTGTGTGTGTGTGTGTGTGTGTGTGTGTGTGTGTGTGTGTGTGTGTTGTGTGTGTGTGTGTGTGTGTGTGTGTGTGCGTGCGTGCGTGTGCGTGCGTGTGAATGTGCGTGCGTGTGTATGTGCGTGCGTGTGTATGTGCGTGCGTGTGCATGTGCGTGCGTGTGCATGTGCGTGCGTGTGCATGTGCGTGCGTGTGCATGTGCGTGCGTGTGCATGTGCGTGCGTGTGCATGTGCGTGCGTGTGCATGTGCGTGCGTGTGCATGTGCATGCGTGCGTCTAGGTATAGGGCTATATTTCTTACGTGAAAAAAATCAGGAATGTTGGCATTTCCTTCTATATATCAACGTATCTTTTCGCAGACCTTTATGCACACCCACGTACCTAGCAATTACTTAAACCTTGACTAAAGTAATGTACATGTCAATCAGCATCTACTTATATTGCTCTTTTACTGTATAGTCGTGAACATATGAAAGTAGAATCAACGGACATCAAACAAAATACACGCTAAGCAGCAGTTCTCAGCTCTGTGCAAGGTGCACTAACGTGACTAGTCATGTAGTGCATTGCAGATGCAACCAATCTGCAACGAACTATACTCTTAATGGCAATTTCAACGTTGGCAACTGATCTGAAAGGCCTGAGTGAATTGTGTACGTCGGAAATACCAAATATTGATTAGAACTATAATATGTATATTACTTTCTGAAATGAAAACTACTTGTCGCTCTCGTTACGAATAAACAAGATTCGCAACTTTTCCAAAAGCCTTGTGCAGTTGCTAGCTACCGGTCGAGTTGCCACGTCGGCTTTATAATCTAATTTAAAATGTCTGACATCTCTCGATCGACTGCTCTCCTTGAATCCTACATCTTAGATATGATTGGGAGTGGGATCACTTTTGGGACAGGAATATTGTAAACAAATTGTCAAATTATCGATTCTAATGATATTATGACTCGCCGGAAAAAATGAGTGGGTACTTATCTCCAAAGCCACTTTTTACCGGTTTCCGAACTGGTTAGCATGTGTAGTGTAACTACAATAAGCAACTATAACACCAGCGCAGTTTGTTAATAGCGCGATCTTCTACACAGTAATTAAACGTGAAGCAGTTTACCCTCGGATGGCATAGCAACTGATAGGTCATACCTCGTGCGGCAGTTTCGCTGGTCCGGGGGAAAAGTAACTGATTGATGAAGTCATTCTGTCAAGACTGAGGCAAGATGTGCTCCCTGACGTCTGTCCTGTGTCTCTGTACCGGTTGGAGTGAGCCACAAAGCCTCCTCGTGCGGGTATGTCTGGAGCA